TCGAGCTTCTGATGATAGAGAAACTATGTAGGTGGCTGGTTCTCCTAGCTCGATAACCTGACTTGAATTAAGAATGCTATAACCGTTTAGTTCATTAAAAACGTGGATTGTCACGTTAGAGGTTTGTCCGTTTACAATGTTTGAGCCATCAACATGTAAGTCGTATACACCAGTAGTATTAAACTGGTGAAGTAGTGAAAACGCCTTAGATGTCATACAGTCGTGTAATATTCCAATTGAGGTTACATACTGGGCTAAGATGAAGAACTCTATTTCCATTGCTAATATCGCGGTAATATTGACTGTATCTCCCACTTTGATATAGAAAGCCTCATTCAATCCGCCATAAATGTTTAGTGTCTGACTGCCAGCTTCCAACGAAATATCTAGGAAATCAGGCCACTCATATCCTCGCTTGTTAACAACCATAATGGTGTCGGTTGAGTTCAACTGTTCAGTCTTGCTGGTGGTTCCGTTTGGTAGTAAAAAAGATACGCCTTTGAGTGGCTCCAACAAAGAGAGGTTTACGTGGACGTATGTTGGGTCAGTATTCATTTTTTCGAACCTTATATAGCCATTTCCAGTTGCTTCGATATAAATGGGTATTATGAGACCTGAAAGGATAAGAAATGGTAACGCATAATAAATTATTCTCCGACCTATGCTGCATGTCTTACCCCCCCCCCCTCCTCCCCACCCGTTTAGCGTTCCAATGTTCTACACGTGATCTCGGTATTTCGTCCCATTCTTGCGAGGCACTTCGACCTACACATCTGACAGGGGGTAGCCACCCTGGAAATTCCCGGGGAACTTCCTCTAACACCGGAACCGGGGCGCCCTTTTTTTCTCCAAATGTCACGTTTTTGTTTGAAATCCTATTTCGCATTGCCCCTAACATCTACAGAGAATGGACCAGACGATTATGTTTAAGTCCGTGTTGTTTTTTTTTTGTTTTTTTAAAAACTTTTTGTGTAGAAAACTTTAATAGCTATAAATCATAACCCTGTTGAAGTTTATCTTATTGCTTTAAATTTTAACACCTCGCTCCGCTCCGCAAGAATGCAATATGTATCAACATACCAAACAAAAACCGTTTTATGTTGGTCCAAATTCTTCCTTAAATGCCTTTATTTGAACACGCTTTGTCTTCGGTTTCAGGGCGGACGACGAATTCTTGTACTGTTCCATTACACTGTCGTAATTGTCCAATTACACTATTTTTGTTCACTTGTATCGTTCAGTTACTGTCACCTGCATTGTCCAACTACGCTGTTTGTATTTTCAAGTACGCTATTTGTATTGTTTAATTACACTATACTTATTTTATTGTTCAGTAACACCATAGTTATTTTATTGTTCAATTACACCATAGTTATACTTATTTTATTGTTCAATTACACAATACTTATACTTATTTTATTGCTCAGTCATACTACTGGTCTTGTTCAATTACACTAAAGTTATTTTATTGTTCAATTACACTATTTTTATTGTTCAATTACGCTATTTTATTGTTCCGTTGTGCTATTTTATTGTTCCGTTACGGTATTTTATTGTTCAGTTACGCTTTATTTATTTTATTGTTCAATTTCAATATTTTGTTCAATTACATTATTTTTATTTACAAGTAGTCGTGGGTGTAATTTATAAGTATTTTACTTACCGGTAATGAATATAGTGATTTCAATCCACATTGTTAATTTTCGTTAAAGGCATCCCTCAAAGAATCTAGAAAACAAAATCGAAACGTTGATACACAAATATATTTTAAAGGAGCGTATAGATAAATCATTACCATTGACACGACAAGGAATATATTCAAGTTAATCCCATCACATATTAAAATCCACCTTTAATATATAATCCATCAGAATATATTGATGTTAATATCTGATATCCCAGGTTAATATATTGAAGTTACCATTTAATATCTCAGAATAAAATTAATATACTTAAGTTACTATCTCAGAATATATTAAAGTTAATATATTGAGTTATTTTAATATCTCAGAATATATTAAAGTCAATATACTTAAGTTACTATTTAACATCTCAGAATATATTAAAGTTAATATATTGAAGTTATTAATTTATATTTCAGAATATATTAAAGTCAATCTCACCATATATTGAAGATAATCTGTAAAATAATCCTGAAACCTCTGTATTTTCATATAGAATGCGATTTAATATGTTGGTTGGTTATTGTCCTGTCATATATTGATCCATCCCGTGTCAAATCCTGGGTTCAGACCACTAACGTATGTTTTATTAATGAGTAGTTTTTCTACCTTGTATAATGCAAAGTAGATAATTGGCTACTTAATTGGCAATGCATACTTGCGGAATTAAAACCCGTACTAAACGCAGAGAAGGAGAGAGCAATGGGGTTTAACGTCAATTCGACACAAACTAGGTCATTTCGGGACTAACATATGGTTCAATTTTATTCCAATAATTCGCTTGTGCGTAGGGGGTTTCCAGGGGACCCGGAGAAAACCCACGAGGTTGGACAGGTGACCTTACTCATGGTCACGTACGACCGGGGAATCGAAACCACGCCAGTTGACTCAATGACAGACCTTATGATACAACGCGCACGTGCTAACCATTCGGCCATCAAGCTAAATCTGCGTATTGCAGGTCTTTCTTTAGCCCTAAATGTTATATAAATCATTTGTGTCGGATGCGATATAAGTAGATTTAAATACATTTTATGGTCGATGCGGTTTCCGTAAAAATAGATAATCGAGACTTTGTTAATTGTATCGCCAAAATCTTGGCTCAGAGTGAAGTAACTTGACTGAAAATTTCAGCATACTCTTTTTCATTATATTTTTATAGTGCGAATTATCAGCACTTTATATACTCTTATCTAATGCCGTTTTAAGTTAGAATTGATCGATATGACTAATTTAAGAAACACTGTTTTTTTTTAACTCAAAGTCTATGGTCGTTAATTAAGGGATTATTAATCCGGAAGTTTCCCGGCGAATTTCGAATGTGGTTTCCCCTGGTAATGCCAGTAGTATAGGAAAGCCCAGTCTGTAGTCGTTCAGGGGAGACGAAGAACTGAAGTTCAGCCTAGACGCTGGCGTGTACGCAAAAAAACCATTGACAATTCGAATTTAATTGCTGAGAGTGAAAATTTCTCTAGTAGCACACGGTGGCGTTTCCCTATCTCCAATATCCCGGTTTGTGCAGGATAGTAAGACTTTAAACCCCATTTCCTAATTCACTAGATCGTTGTTTTTTTTACTGTTTTACGTTCGCATATCTTATTCCGTCCACGCATCGCTTTAATTATTAATTAATATTTCTAGATCTCTTGTATTAGGTACAAATCGGCAGTCCCTTGTGTCTCTCCATTATTTCTATGTTGTTCTTTTAATAAAAGGTTTTTGTTGTTATGAGTTGGTTATTTTCTTTGACTTCATGAAATATTGATTTCAACAACATGTGACATCTTTCCAGTAAACAATTCTTTACTCTATTTATGCGGCCACAGATCACCAATGATTTCCCCATTGAATTCTCATCTCTTAGACCGGCTCTAACTTTTTCCTAAATTTTCTATGGCTAGAAAGCTTTCTACCACAGATGGAGCAACATGTGGCAACCTTTTGGTCAAGAGCACGTAGGAGGTTCATCATAGAAAATTTGAGATACACAAACTGGAAGTGGGGGGTTGGATGGCCGAATGATTAGCACGTGCGTGCTGTATCGTAAAGCCTGTCATTGAGTCAACTGGCGTGGTTTCGAATCCCCGGTTGTACGTGACAAGGAGTAGGGTCGCCTGTCCAACCTCGTGGGTTTTCTCTGGGTCCTCCGGTTTCCTCCCACTGCTAAAGACCCCTACGCGCAAGCGAATTATTGAAATAAAATTCAACCATATTTTAGTCCCAAAATGACCTAGTTTGTGTCGAGTGGACGTTAAACCCCATTTCTCTATCTCTCTCTCTCAAACTGGAAGAAAACATTCAATTTTCCGCCCTACATTTCAACCTAACGAACCTCTCAGCGCATCAGAAAAAAGCCCAGTGAAAACAGATTCGTATTGGTAGATTGTAAGGTATATTCTGGGTGGGAAACAGAATTTAAATAAAATATAAATATTGTACATTGTTTTAGTATTAGAACGTACGTTTCAAACTTCAATCATGGTAAGAATCCTACTTCCACTCGATACAAACTAGGTCATTTTGGGACTAACATATGGTTTAATTTTATTTCAATTTTATTTGAGATACACAAACTGGAAGTGGGGGGTGGATGGCTGAATGGTTAGCGTGCGCGCGCTGTATCATAAAGTCTGTCATTGAGTCGACTGGCGTGGTTTCGAATCCCCGGTTGTACGTGACAAGGAGTAGGGTCGCCTGTCCAACCTCGTGGGTTTTCTCCGGGTCCTCCGGTTTCCTCCCACTGCTAAAGACCCCTACGCGCAAGCGAATTATTGAAATAAAATTAAACCATATGTTAGTCCCGAAATGACCTACTTTGTGTCCAGTGGACGTTAAACCCCATTTCTCTCTCTCTCTCTCAATACTTCGGTTGCGCGTAAGGGTCTTTAGCAGTTGGAGGAAACCCACAAGGTTGGACAGGCGACTCTACTCCTTGTCACCGCTAAAAATAGAAAAGGAAAGTAAAAACGTTCTTATTTGACAGATTGATTTTATTATATAAATGTATTTCAGTATGTTTGTAGAATTTATAATATTATATAGAGATTTAGATTAAATTGATTCATAAATTAAACATTTTAATATAAAAATTATTTCATTTTCTATGGTTAATTTGACATAATAGAAATTTTGTTGTACTGCAACATGGAGATTTTTTTTTTTTTTTTGATTTTTTTTTTATACCTATTGATTGCCTAAACACAACCGGAGTTTAAATCAAGCGCCTCTTTCTGGTTACATTTTATGACCGCGTTATCGTTCCATAAATAGGACGTCACGTGATTTATCACATGATATTTTTGTCACATGATCGTTTGTATTACTTCCGGTTATTTTTCTTTTAACCGAGTCAGAATTGTTTCTAAATAATGTATAAAGATCTAGAAGAATAGTTCAGCAAATTTAACTGAGATGAAAAAAGTAACGTGAAACTTATTATTAATTTAAAATATTGCTAATTACTATTTGCTGCATATAAAATCCGCTTCATTAGACAAAAAATACACCAAGGTACAATTTCATAAACTATTATTTAGCGTAGCCGTAGACTAATACTATAGCAATAAATCATTATTTATTTATTTTTTTTGCGACATGTAATGTTAAGGGTAAAAGGGCGAAAATATTGTTTTTATTGTTTAGTGGTAATAAGGTAATCACTGTTTTAATTGTTAAAGGGGGGGGGGGTAAAACTAATTCAATATTCTCCAGAGTCAAAAACGAATTATTGGTCCATTTCAACCAATTTAATATTAATTAATAGTGATGTTATCATACTGTGAAAATATGGGCTCCTGATATGTTAAAACCAGTATACTGTATGCTCTTGAGTGCGATTTGTAATTCGAGGCACCTTGATGATCGAGACTGAATGACAGTGTGTAAGGGAAATGTCAAACTGTATACTTCGATGTAGACTGGATCAATCAGGACGAGCTACTGTCATTCAATTTGGACTGCTCACTTATTTCGATGAACAATAAAATAACAATAAAAGACTCTAAAAGATGAATATAAATCAGTTTATATTCACCCGTATTACATCATTAGGACCCTTTTTCATCTATTTAAGTTCCACAGAATAGGAGTTTAGCTCCATTAATTGTTAATTACAAGAAATACACCCCAGGTTTTATTGTTACTCCTCTCAATTCATTTTCCCATGCTGCACCATTACTCTGGAACACAATACATATTGATATAAGGCGATGTGATAATCTCGAAACTTTTAAGTCAAAACTGAAAACCTTCCTTTTCAACTCACACAACAACTGAACATTGTAACATTGATAAGCTTTATACCATCTCCAAACACCTTGAGCATTTTTATTGATAGGCTGCGCTATACAAAAACTCATTATTATTATTATTCACAGCAGAAATGATAACACTATGCTACCCTATGGTTGTTGTAGGTTACAGAAGTTACATGAATCTTTTAGAAGACACTGACACGACTGTTGTGATTCTCCTAAATGCTAATAATAAATTTGTACAGACACATATTACTTAAAAAGCGTTGAAGTGTCATGTCAGATCATAATCCTAAAAACCACTATTTGACTTTGTTAAAGGGCACATCAAATGGCCATGTGAAAGTTGTATGTACTTGAAGCCAGGGTTTATTATAAACCCTTTAGCGAATTGCACACCAATCTGATTAAAATTATTCGATCTATGACCATTCATGTGTCAAACCCTCTAAAATATTTCTCAATTTTTCAATCACAGATTGGTGTGAACTAACCGTAAAGTGAACTTACCACTGGTTATAAGTATATAAAATTTTGTTTGACCATTTTATGTGCTGTTTTAATGAACATTGTTTGAGATAGCACTGATGTTTTATCGTTCTTTTAATTCAGTGTTGTTAAGCCTTTAGCAGTGAGAGAACCGTAGGAGAAAACTCACGATGTTGGAGAATCAACTTCACATTCTTGGGATTGAAACCACACCACTTGACTCAATGACAGACCGAGCCATCTAACGTGCAGGCAGTAAACCATCCGACCACCCAACCCCACAATGTGTATAACATCAAATTTGATAAACATTTTATTTTGATATTTCAGAATCTTCACCAAATAAGTGGATCGGAAACAGATTTCATGTGATGGATACCGTGGAGATTTGACACCCCCATCATACCAGTATGATGTAATATATTGAATCTAGATGTGTGTTGATAAAATTTGAGAAGAGACTTATTATAATGGCTGAACTACTGTTTAAAGTGATTATTATTGGAGATCCAACTGTAGGAAAAACATCGTTTGTACAGCGATATGTGAACAATTCGTACAGAAAAGACTATAAAATGACTATTGGAGGTAATTTATCATTAGGTATTATGCATGATTTTTGTTATATTGTTTGTTTTTTGTTATATTATATGTTCGTTATTAGATGGTAGTCCTGTTCCTTGTCTTCTATTTGTAAGTTTTTTGGGGGGTTGGATGGCCGAATGGTTAGTATGTTCGCGTTGTATCATACATGTAAGGTCTGTCATTGAGTCAACTGGTGTGGTTTCGATTCCCTGGTTGTACGTGACAACCTCGTGGGGTTTCTCTGGCTCAATTGTATTCAGGTCAGGGCTTCTATCTGACCAAGGTAATGTTGCATCAGCCTTTTGATGCAGAAAGTCAAAAATTGTACCTAGTCAGTGTAGTCAGGGTTGTCGTCCATAAAGATTGGCCTGTGAGCCAAGCATGATTGCTAAAGTGGAGCACTACAACTCTATCCAGGATCTTTCTTTGGTACCGTTGCCCATTGAGATTATCTGTAACTGTTACTAGTGGAAGCTTATTACAGTCATACTGTATCAAAGACAACCCCATATCCTGATAGAGCCGCTGCCGAATGGAACCGGCTCTGTGCACAGAATACTTCAAAATTTTCCTTTAGGCTACGTGATATACATCTGTGTATTTTTTGTGTATTTCAGTAGTTTTTCTAGTTCATTCCATATATTTTTTTCTTTGCGCATGTTAGTATTTTTGTTTTGGTTGTGTCAGTATTTTTTTTTTCTTGGTTTATGTCCGTATTTCTGTTCTGGTGCATGCCAGTATTTTTTCTAGTGCATGTCAGTATTTCTGAATAGGGCAGGTTAGGCATATAAGTATATTGATCTGATGTTTGTCAGAATCTTTTTACTATCAAAATGTATGCTTGGTGCAAAGTGAAGTTTGTTGAGAAAGTTGTACTACATATACGCATGTTAGTCTTTTATCTTTTTAAAGTCGGACCAGAATCTATCTTTGAATATTTTTATTTTAATTATTTTTTATAGTAGTGAGACAATTTCTGATAATAAATGCCAGAATTACATACATGTATATTCATTTTGTAAAATCTTATGAACTCTCTTGCAACAAAAGTTATCAACTGACCTGCTTGAAATTCATAGATTCATGCATTGAGTAAACAAGTAATATGAAGAAACCTGTTGAATTCGAACAATTTTTATAAATTACTTATAGTGACAATACTCTAGTGACAATGGTAATCTTTAGATCGGTTTGTAATTTCTATGCATTGTTCACAAGGGCAGACTGGGTAGCTCTGCGCTGGTTTCCTTGGGCCCACATCACATTAAAGTGACATAACGAGAAAACGAAACTAGCTCCCTTCTTCTTTCCTGCACCTTTCTTCAAGGTCATGTTTCTCCTCGGATTTAGGTCATTATATTTTTATTTTTAAGTGGATGCAAAGATGAATTTTCTTTATTTTGAAAAAAAAAAAAAATATCTAGATGTTTTTTTTCCAATCAGCGCCAGTATGAATGTTGACATCCCAACACTGCTCTGAACTCTCTAGACCCTCGGACCACGTCCGACGGTCCAAGGCCCAGTTCCCTCCCTGATTGTTCAGAATAGTAACACAAACTGCAACAATGTCTGATAACTTGTGTATCTATTTATATTGATATATTTTATCTATTTTATATTTTAGTTGATTTTGCTTTAAAAGTGATCAAATGGTCGGACAATAGAAATATCAAGTTACAACTGTGGGATATTGCAGGTAAATATACAACATCTTACAGGTGTATCAACATAAAGGAAATGAAATGGGGTTTAAAGTCCTATTTTTCTGTATCGAGTGGGTGAATGATGGGTTAATGAATACTGGCATATACCATACTGTGTGCTATGAGGGAAATATCGAATTTCAACTATCAAGCATTCTTTTACGTGCATGCCAACATGTATACGGGACATTGGTTTTTCGTTCTATCCAAACAACTAGACACTTTCCTTGCCCGCCCTACTGTCCTGCAACACTGACAAAGGGAACGCATATCAGATAATCCAGAGGAATTTTTTCAGCCAACACTGGTAAAAGAACTCGTAACAGTTCGAATTTAATGAACAGTCGACAGAAACGTTGCTATCCGTATTCTGTCAAGATTTCACTCAAGATGTCCTTCATTAGCCAGTTTGGTCCAGTCTTTCATTGAGTCAACTGGCGTGGTTTTGAGCCCAAGCTTGTATATGACAAGGAGTAGGGTCGTCTGTTCAACCTAATGAATTTTCTCCAGGTACTCTGGTTTTGTTCCACTGCAATTTATTGAAACAAGCCAACAGTGAGGCTGATGTCCCCCGCCGAAATAGGAAAATAATTAGAGGACACATATAAATTTATCACAAATTATCTTTTACAAAGTATTGAACAATCAAACAGTATATCTTTACTTATAGTCTAACAATCAAAGTAGGAGAGTTATTGTTTTCCAAAGTCTCGACCAATCAAATTGCGTATCGCTCTGCTTACCCTGAGCAGAAAATGCTCATTATCAACCTTAGTCAAGGTATTACTGTAATGAAACTATACACCAAGTTTCATCAATCTCACTTAATTAGAACTAAAGTTATCGTGTCCCAAAGCATCAACCAATCAAATTGCTTATCTCTGCTTACCCTAAGCGGAAAATGCTCATCTTCGAACTCCATCAAGGCATTGACCTAATCAACACATACACCAAGTTTGAACATTCTAGCTCAATTAGGAAGAGAGTTATCGTGCCCCAAAGTATCAACCAATCAAATTGCTTATCTCTGCTTACCCTAAGCGGAAAATGCTCATCTTCGAACTCCATCAAGGCATTGACCTAATAAACACATACACCAAGTTTGAACATTCTAGCTCAATTAAAAGTTATCGTGTCCCAAAGCATCAACCAATCAAATTGCTTATCTCTGCTTACCCTAAGCGGAAAATGCTCATCTTCGAACTCCATCAAGGCATTGACCTAATCAACACATACACCAAGTTTGAACATTCTAGCCCAATTAGGAAGAGAGTTATCGTGTCCCAAAGCATCAACCAATCAAATTGCTTATCTCTGCTTACCCTAAGCGGAAAATGCTCATCTTCGAACTCCATGAAGGCATTGACCTAATAAACACATACACCAAGTTTGAACATTCTAGCTCAATTAGGAAGAGAGTTATTGTGTCCCAAAAAGTGTGACGGACAGACAGACGGACGGACAGACGGACAGACAGACAGACGGACGAACCCATTTTAATAGTCCCCTGCTTTCTTCGAAAGGCGGGGGACAATAAAAGTGAACCATATGTTAGTCCTGAAATGACCTAGTTTTTGTCGAGTGAACATTAACCCCATTTCCCTCTCTCCCTGTATGTGCAGAACAGTGGAACATTACCATACACCTTAATTTGATTTCAATTTAATTCCTGATTAAGAATGTAAAGAAATAAAATAAAACCAAGTACGAACAATCCAAACCATGAGACAAAATTCGAAGTCCTACACAACAAACAGCGGTAAAAGGTGTCCGGAAGAGTAAGCTTACCCTGCCTGGCGCCACACCCGCCATAGCTGCATCCAAACTATTAGGCGAAATCTCGGTAAAATAGCGTGATTGGCCAATGGACTATCGGTATGCAAAATGCACGTAATTGATTTTATTTTACAGGTCAAGAAAGATTTACGTCAATGACACGCGTATATTATAAAGATGCCCATGCTTGTGTTATAATGTTTGATTTGACCCAGAGATCCACATTTCAAAGTGCCGTTAAATGGAAAAAAGATTTAGATACAAAATGTTCGTTATTAGATGGTAGTCCTGTTCCTTGTCTTCTATTAGCTAACAAGGTTTGTAAGTTTCTTGATCACTTGTTGTATATGTATATTAATTTAGAAATTCTAAAAGTTTAAGCTCTAAAGCCAGGTAGCGCTAAAATAGTTGAATTTTTATACTAAAGCCAGGTAGCTGTAAAATAGCTGAGTTTTTCTTACTAAATCAAGGTAGCTCAAAAATAGTTGAGTTTTTGTACTAAAGCAAAAATCAAAAATAGTTGAGTTTTCTTACTAAAGCAAGAATACTCTAAAAAGAAAGCTCTAAAATAGTTGTTGTTTTCTTACTAAAGCAAGGTTGCTCTAAAATAGATGAGTTTTCTTACTCAAGCAAGATAGCTCTAAAATAGATGAGTTTTCTTACTCAAGCAAGATAGCTCTAAAATAGTTGGGTTTTTGTACTAGAGCAAGAAAGCTCTAAAATAGTTGAGTTTTTGTACTAAAGCAAGATAGCTCTAAAGTAGATGAGTTTTCATACTAAAGCTGTATTATATATCGCTTTCACTTAATACCCTTTAAAGATAACATTTCTCTACATGCCCTTTAAAGATAGTATATTTTTTAATTGTATGTTGATTTAGCACATAGGATCTGTGTTTTAATCAGAACAATAAGATTGAGTTTATTTATTGTAGGCTGATTTAGCTCATAGAGAAGTAGAACAATCAGAAATAGAAGATATGTGTAAAGAACAAGATTTCCTCGGTTGGACAGAAACATCTGTTAAAGATGGTTTAATGGTCGAAGAATCTATGAGGTGTGTAGATAGTTATAATTACTGTAGTGGGTGGCCGAATGGTTTAATGCTTACGCTTTAGATCAAAAGGTCTGTCAGTGAGTCAAGTGGTGTGGTTTTGATTCCCCACTTCTACATGACAAGAGAGAAAGAGAAAGAGAGAGAGAGAGAGAGATAAGGTTGGACAGGCAACCACGGAATCGAACCCACTTCAGTTGAGTCAATGACAGACCTTAGGATACAATGCACATGCTCTAACCATTCGGCCATCCCCTCCGCCCCCTACCCCCCACCCCCTACATGACAAAGAGTAGAGGTTTGAGTAGTATCCAACCTCGTGGGTTTTCTCCGATTTCCTTCAACTGTTAAAGACAAGTACGCGCAAGTGAATTGTTGAAATAAAATTGAACAGTAAAGGTCTTTCAATGATTTCATTTTAATTTTTTTCTTGTAGATTTTTAATAGAAGAAATGATGACGAAACATTCTGAAATAGATGACTTAAATGATTCAACCAATCAAAATGGTCGTGGAGAAAACAACATACGTTTAAACAATGAAATCGGTCAAATAACGCAGCGTAACAGATGTTCGTGCTGACACCAATTGTTATTGTAGTAGTGTAAATATATATCTAAATATACAGAATGAAAACATTAACCCTTTGACCGTCCCAAACTGCCCTAACTACGGCTCCTTTAGACCATCTCAAACTACCTGTCACAACTGCATGAACTAAAGAATGGGGCCAATAATACAGAAAGATATTCACATAGTTTGAGACGGACTAAGGAAAAGCAGTTTCGGTCTGTACAGGGATATACTGCTATTAAAATATCACTTTATTCTAATTTGCCCTGTGGATCGGGTGTGTATATGTACCTAGTGATAAAATTTAAACTTGCCAGTGTATAATTTATACAGTCTGAGACATGCATGTGATCTTTGACATAACTAGTCAATAGACACAGCAATTTGATTAAAACACAGATCCTATTTCGTTTAGTTTTTTATAGTTCAAAATTTTGTTTTACTTGTTTTTACTACACTAGGATCTGGAAGAGTTGTTATATAACCTGCATCCTGCATGACTTGAGGGATTAACCAATGAAATGATCTGTTACGGCGACCTCTTGGCGTGCGACACACGGAACTGTGGGTAAACCACTAGTAACATCAATGCTGATTGGTTAATCAAATGTCTGATGTCATAGGGTCAAAAGCCGATCGTACGACCTCTGTCACAACCTTTTACTACAACCGGCCAGATCTTCATGTAGTGTAGGCCATCGAAAGTATAAAAAACGAAAAAAAATATAGATCTGTCTTTTAATCGGATTGTAGATACATTGGGTATTTTTTTACCTGTCAAGTACAAAGGGTTAAACTTGCCAATGTATCATATTATAATTTTATATGTAGTGGGATATATGTGTGTGGTTGCTTAACATAACTGGTTACCATGGATACTGGTTACCTTGGATACTGCACTGTAACCCAGGTATCGTTTAATCTTGTGTATCTAGCACTAATTTCTTTCACATTCGTTTAATATCAAATTCGTAAAAATTGTTTAAAATCACCAAAAATCATCTAATTTGTAAATGTGTCCAGTTTAAAGCTGACTGATTAATTTTGATAATGAGTGTCCAATTTACAAGTATTTAATTTCCTGATCACTGTTCAAAAATTAATCATTATACATCATTAATCAATTGGGTTGTTTATTTTTGAACAATGATTGAGAAATTAAACACTTGTAAGTTGGACACTCATTATCAAAATTAATCAGTCAGCTTTAAACTGGACACATGTACAAATTAGATGATTTTTGGTGATTTTAAACAATTTTTACGAATTTGATATTAAACGAATGTGAAAGAAATTAGTGCTAGATACACAAGATTAAACGATACCTGGGTTATGGTGATTTCAAACAGTTTTTACAAATTTTTGAACAAAGATTGGATATTAAACGTATGTGAAAGAAATTAGTGCTAGATACACAAGATTAAACGATACCTGGGTTACAGTGCTGGTTACCTTTTAAAGGTTCTTACAAAGAACAAATCTGTGATGTCATTTTGGTGTTTCACAATTCCAAAATGTAGATTATGATTTTTTCACAATTTAAATTTCATTAGTGTAACACTTCTAAAGTGTAGATGATAATTTTTTTGCATTTTGTATTTCACTAGTTGTATGAAGATAACCCTTATTTTACATTTTGTAATTTCATTTTGATTTTTTTAATTTAATGTTAAATAATCTAAGTACATATTGATGTGAATTAAGCTGTGAGAAAAATGATATTTTCCAACAAAATACAAATAACACACTATTACTTTAAACATACATTATGAAAGAGCTAAATCTGCCCATTGTGGGTCTTTCTTCAGGCCTGAAATGTTTTCTAAATTATTAATTAGACATTTATAAATATGAAAAGACCATAATCAACTCTCAATGCCATGTTATGTGTTCGATTTTTACTGGATTTGAATCCTATCTGCTGCTCAATGCTCATTGATGATTAAATCCAAAAATAGATAATCAAGACTATGTTTTTTATCATACCAACTTTAGTAATGATGATCGAAACTAAGCCTAAAATTCAATCGCTAATATCTCGGTTCAGCAAATTCCCTTTACATTATCTATTTTTCAGTTATTATCGTGAGAACTGTCAGCTTTCTATCTAATCTTCCATAATGTATCTTTAAGTTAATTCAAGGTTCAATAATCAATCGAAGTACATATTAGCGTGGATTTAGTTGTGAGAAATCTGATATTTTCCAACGAAATACAAATCAAGCACCGTTACTTATATAACAGTTTACATTATTAAGCTGTTTTAAGGTTAGTGAACATTTTAATAGGTATTCAGACAAACAATGCAGGTCCCCGAATGAAAATGTTGGTTAAAGTTCCCGTCTTATGTGGAATTGATTTGATATTATTACAGTTCTAAATATGGTATTAGTTCGATGATATTAGTTCTAAATATGGTATTAGTTTTATGATATTAGTTCTAAATATTGTAGTTCTAAATATGGTATTAGTTCTAAATATGGTATTAGTTCTAAATATGGTATTAGTTCTAAATATGGTATTAGATCTAAATATGGTATTAGATCTAAATATAGTATTAGTTCTATGATATTAGTTCTAAATATGGTATTAGTTCTAAATATCAAATTACACTGTAAACCAAACCATGTTGCACTTCTGCCCAACGTTCGATGCTAGTCCTGTGTCAACCATATTTGTTAACTTTGACTCAACACAAATCTGTTGTCTGTGATATCACTTCAGTGGTAACGCACGTTAAATAAAACACACAAATATGAACTACCATATACTTGAAACAAATGATTGCTGCTGTCGAAACCAAAGCTATGTGTACACGTACAGGTAATTTGTGACAGGGATTGGACCAGTTGGCCCAGCTGGCATGGGCCTATAATCCTGAAGGGTCTAACTGCCTGTGGTAGAGGGAAGGAGGGACCGTTTGTTAGAGGGCAGGAGGGAACCTTTGGTAAGGGCCTATAATCTTGAAGGGTCTAAATGCCTCTGGTAGAGGGAAAAAGGGACCATTTAGTATTGTTATTATTGATTATTATTCAGTACAATAATGAAGATTATAAATGTGACTGCTACCAGGACCAGGTGACTTCACATAAAGATAAGAAGTTACAAGCATTATTTTTATAAACAGATGATAATGATAATTATGTATTTGTATGTTTTTTTATATAACAGGTTTATATATAGATTATATATAATATATTGAATAAAAGAGACTTTGGATTTTTCTGTTGTAAGATATTGAATCACAGAGAGAACAAGAATTGTTCTATTTTAAAGTGCTATTGTTATTAGTCTGTGGTTACTTTTCACAGAAACAAATAAACGACAATTACATATTTGTATGATGTTTTTTTTATATATATAACAGGTTTATTATATATTATAGAGTATGTATTATAAAATATTGAATCGAAGAGAATGTTGCTTGTTCAATTATAAAATCAGTCTGTGATAACATTTCACAGAAACAAACTAGAGAGGGTTGGATGGCCGAATAGTTAGCATGTGTGGAATAGTTAGCATGTGTGCGTTCGCGTTGTATCATAGAATCTGACATTGAGTCGAATGGCCTGGATTCGATTCCCCAGCCTGTCCAGCCTCGTGGGTTTTCTCTTGGTCCTCTGGTTTCCTCCCACTGCTAAAGACCCCCTATGCACAAGCGAATTATTGAAATGAAAATGAAATTGAACCATATGTTAGTCCCGATATGTCCTAGTTTGGACGAGTGGACGTTAAACGCCATTTCCCTCTCTCTCTCAGAAACAAATTATAAATAAACCTAGCAATTGATGCGGACTAGTCGAGGAGGTCTGACGCAGCAAAATCTCTGATGCTACCTTAACTAAGTTATCTTCTATTGCTTATCAGCCAGATTTAGATCATAATCATAAGGTCTGTCATTGAGTCAGGTGACGTTTCAATTCCCCACTTGTACATGACAAGAAGTATGGGTCGCCTGTCCAATCTCGTGGGTTTTCTCCATGTTTCCTCAAACTGCTAAAGACCCCTATGCGCAGCCTTACGCGCAAGTGAATTATGGAAATAAAAATGAACCCTATGTTGGTCCAGAAATCACTTGGTTCCTGTTCGACAGAAAAATATTAGGGATCTGTTTTAAAACGGCCAAATGGTTGAATAGTCAGTATATATATTTCGTTGTCATAAAATGAAAGAAGCAGAAAAAAATTTCTTTTCTTAAAACCATTAGATACATGAACACTACATGAAAAAATCACTCAAAAAATTTAATAGACATTAAATATAAATCTGTTTTTTCCTGGGGGCAAAAATATGTCAGACAAAGCAGTCAAGTAATATCCGAGGGTGCCCGAGCCCACGTTGTCCTTTGAGTGAAATGGGACAGGCCTCTCAACTAGAGAGAGAGAGAGAGAGAGAGAGAAATGGGGTATAACCTTCACTTGACACAAACTACATGTAGGTCATTTTAGGACTAACATATGGTTCAATTTTTGGACAGACGATCCTACTCCTTGTCATGTACGAGCGTCGAATCGAAACCACGCCAGTTGACTTAATGACAGACCTTATGATACAGCGCACAGTGATAACCGTTTGGCCATCCACCACCCATGCCCTCCCCCCCCCCCCCCCCCCGGCCAAAGTAGCTTCTGGAGCATACCCAGTCAATAAAAATGTGTTAACCGAACTGCTAGATGAACAACCAGGGGTGAAGACAATATACAACCACATTTCATTGTTATCTATAAAATTAATAAAAACAGCTCTATTTATAGGTATATAATATATTTTATTATACTTCTCATAAAAGTTTGTTTAATATTTGAATTGAATATGGTTGTTATGTAAATGGTAACAAATATAAGTGGGTAGTATTTATACATGGGGATTATATACATATAAAATATGTTATACGGTAACATACGTGTAATATTTATACAGGGGGATTATATACATATAAAATACATGGAATATCTACCTCTACAGAATACTTAGCACTGTCAAACATTATTATTATTATTGTCATGGTCGACTTGTTTTTAAATCTATTTAAAGCTTAGTATAGGTCCTGAAGTATAATAATCCTACGCTAAAATCTTGATAAATCGCATAATTGAATAAATTTTATACTAAATTGAATTATTCCAGAGCTTCTTCAATTTGTTCCTGTGTACCTAAAATTTTTGTGACTGTAAAGTAATAACCGCGTGTCTAAAAACAAAAGTCACAATTTTGATTTATTTCCCTAAATAAACAAGTCAGATCACACCAATCTGATTTTTTGTTCTTCAGGGCAACACTTGTTAAAATTTTTGTTTTTATTTCTTGGGAAAAAGACCAATTCAAAAACCAAATGTACTTGGTTGCACTGTTCAAAAGCTTTTAATTCCAAATTTTTAAGTTTTGAGATTTTAAACAAAACATTTTTCACGTTATTCAGGTGGCTATTTATTTATCATGCGCCCCTGATGAACAGAATATCAGATGGCTTTGGCCTAAGTTCCTAACTTCTTCAAGGTTCTCTACATGCTTTTTGGCAACTATAATCTAATACAATAACTAATTTCTCTACACAGATACTTCACAAACTGAATACATAGATCTAAAATAAGTAAAACCATTTTAATGGTTACTTCTAACGTACAAGCACTTGTAATAATATCATCTTTTGTTGTAAACTGTTTCAATGGTATTAATCACAGGATATAGACAGAATACAAATCTATGGAACACAATTACTGCCACTGTTTCAATGGCATTTATAACTAGAAATACATACAACATAATTCTATGGAACACAATTACCGCCACTATTCAGTGTTTATATATTACTGATAACGACTAGACGAATCAAGTAAAAAAACAATCAATGTATTCCATAGAATTGTAATGATTTTAAATGGGGTTTAACATACTACTGTTCTGCCCCGACTGCGCTAATGTATACAGGTTTACGTCATGCATGTGCTATGAGTGAAATTTTGCCCGGACAGCGACACTACGGTCTACTCTTATTTTGTATTCCATCGTCAGGTTTTCCTGGGGAACTTTCTTGGCCAATGCCAGGAGCGAACCGAAGACCTCCTGGTTAGCAAGCCAGCCTCTTACTCACTGAGCCACCGTGGCTCTCGTATTCAATAGAATTGTATCCTAATGTATATCCTTTGTTGTCTGGGTGTTAAAACAGTGAATATTATGCTTGACATATCGACTACACTTAAATAACATAATAAACTCATACCTTGTATGTATATATATATATATATATATTTGGACGGATAAAAATAAACGAAAATAAAAGATCTTCGTAATTTAAAATAGGCCCACCGGTAACTAAAAGTACCATTAGATATCCTAATATCATTTTCACTTCATTGTGTGTGAAAACCCTTTCTTTAATCAACTTCTTTAATTAAAACACGAAAATTAATACGAACATTTAAAAGAAGGTTGTTGAAAGGGTTTTCTAAATGAATATCACAGTATTTATTGATTCAATGGATTTCATTTTAATTAAAAATCCTTTCATTAAATTAAAAATTGAAAGGACGGATTTATTTAGAACAGAACTTGGACATTTCACTACAATTGTAACATATGGTGGAATAGGTAACCAAAGTTTAAATTTATTGAATATTCCTGGAGGGATTGTAATAATATGGAGGGATTTCATAATAATAAAAATATTTTGTAGAATTATTAAAACTATTGGTCTGGATTTCTTGCTGTAAATATATTTATAATGTCTAATATAAGTTGTTATAATAATTACAGAAAAATAATGAAATAAATGAAATATTTGATAATTCTATAAATTCAGATTATAACACAGATGGTAATTCCATTTTTTTATTTTTTATACTTTAAATGGCCTTCACTATATATAGATCTGACAGGGTTTGCGATGGAGGTCAGGTCAGAAAGGTCAGAGGTCAAATCAGTGAATGACGTAAATGATTCATATTTAACCAGACCATTTCATTGGCTAATCTCTAACCAAAAGGATCATGGGTTTATCAAAAAATCCTTTCACATCCTCCCATCATAAACACTAATAAAACTATAGAATACGAAACGAAACCAAATTGGATCTGTGGAATTGTAAAATTGTAGGATATAATCTAAACACAGAATTTACGATTTAAGAGTCTCTGGTATTCAGCACTAGATTTTGCATAGGAAGAATTTAGGACGGCTTCATCTGTAGATCGAACTACTGGAATAACATCATCGTGAGGTGCTAAAATAAAACAACAATAGAAATTTTACATATTTTACACAAACCGATCTGATAGACCAAGATCTACCTGTGTACACAATGGCATGCATGTGAAGGAACCAGTTGGTTAGGCTACTTGTCTACAATTAACTCCGCTTGAGAACAAACACTAAGATAGTTAACTGACATTTTAATTCCTACATCGATGATTTTTAAGCGAAAACACCAAGTATAATTCAAGAATGTTGATAAGTATTTATTCTGCTCCCTTTTATTAACCAGTGGTTGCCAGGCAAGATACGCCCACATTTTGCAAGAGATGGATAGAGAATAAGCTAAAAAATGAAATGTTATGTGATTTAACGTCCTACTGTTCTGCTCAGAACTGGGCTAATGAAGACGCCATACAGTGTGCTATAAGGGAAATTTTGCCCAGGCAGCGGCACTACGACCTACTTTTATATCGAATTCCAACTGCCAGGGGATCTTTTACGTACACACCAATGTATACAAGGGATCTCGGTTTTTCGTCCCATCCGAATGACTAGACAGCTGTCCGTTTCAGCAAGGATTATGTTTTCATATTAGAACTCACCAGCTTCTAAATGTTTCGCTATACTTCTGTCTAATTCAGCTCGTAATTTGTTACTGAGAATATCATCACCACCTAATACACGACTTCCATCATACGAACCACCAGATATAGCAGAAAAATTCATATTACCAAAACTTGCCTGTAGTTTACTTCGATGTTTTTCAGCTCTAGAATTATAAATAACGATAATTAAACGCAATTTGTTTATGAAATAATATCATTTCTTAAGCACGATTCCTCTGGTGTTACACAAAAGTGTCTTATTTTTCTGAAGAGAGAGAGAGAGAGAGAGAGAGAGAGAGAAAGAGAGAGAGAGAGAGAGAGATTGGGTTTAAGGTTTACTCACACAATCTAGGTCATTTCGGGATAACACATGGTTCAATCTAATTTCAATAATTCGCTTGTGCATTGGGGTCTTTAGCAGTGGGAGACAACAGGAGGACCCAGAGAAAACACACAAGGTTTAACAGGCGACCCTTCTCCTTGTCACATACAACCAGGGAATCGAAACCACGCCAGCTGACTCAATGACAGACCTTGTTAC